GGCCATAAATTCACTTTAGCCAAGTCTTGTATGCCTAGTGTAGGCTTCAAAACTGCGCCGGATGGCTTCAAGAAGCGCCCCAGAAAAGCCCCAATGCTCTCAATGGGACCCCAACATAGCGCCAACATGGCTCCAAGAGGCAAAGTTTCAGCTGTCTCCTTTTCGGGCTGCATGGCCTCCGAGATGGCCGTAATAGCGCCGGCGATGCCTCCGAAGGGCTCCAATATGGCCCCAAGAGGGCCCCGGGACGGCTCAAGGAGACCTCCTAGAGGCCCCAAGAGGCCGCCGCTGCTGCTTGGACGGACCCCTTTCGGTTTGCCAGTTGTCCTGCTTTGCTCCACTGATGCTTGCCCATAATCGTTCAACGACAGCCCGCCTAGCAATCGATTCTGGATTACAGTCATCGCGCTACCATGAGGAACGCATCAGGAACGAAGGGGCTTTTCTGGCCATGGTGGGCCTAGGCTTAAGTCGGGCGTGTCCCCCTACAGCCGGATTTTGGACGAAAAATCAAAAATAACCAGAAAATGCTCCCAAATAGCCAAATATAGTCAAAACTATTATTGAATGTTGTACTATTTCTACTATTTTTTTAATACTCCTCCTGTAGAGGGACAGGCCCGACTTAAGCCTAGGCCACAAACAGGATCCACGGCATGAGTCTAAGGACTGGCCCGAAAAAACCCGAGCCCCTCCTGAACCACAAACGATGCTCATGTCAGCGCCTTCACTGTACTGGTGAGGCCTTGCGAAACCGTCTTGGAGCAACCCCGAAGCTATGACAGTCCACCCGTATCATAAGGAAATGCGCGATAAGGATGCAGGGCTCAAGTCGGGCGTGTCCCCCTACAGGGAGAATTTGTGCGAAAAATGAAAAATACTCAAAAAATGATCCCCCAAATGGGCAAAAATAGTCAAAAAATCGTCCCCAGGCTATCTTTTGACTATTTTTGTGTATTCCTCCTGTAGAGGGGCAGGCCCGACTTAATGCAAGGCCTTGGACGCCCATCTCGAAGCATTTCGAGCGGAGCGCGGCCAACGAAAGTGGCCAAGGATGGACCGAGGAGGGAGGGACGCCCATTTTCACTGTGCGGGTTGACTGTGTGTCGCCCGCGCGACCGACCGCGCGGCCGTGCAACCTCCCTCCTCCCCCCTTGGACCCTTGGAGAACTTTCCAGGCATCTCCCTGGTTCCCCCCGCCCCCCAACGGGGCTCCTTCCTCAACGTGCCTTCCAACACAATGTGTGAATGTTCCGATATGCCCAAGAGGCCTCGACGACTACAGTCAACCCGTATAGTAAGGATGCGCGATGAGGATGCAAGGGCCTTGACGCCCATTTCCAAGCTTTTCGAGCGGGGCGCGGTCGACAAAAGCGGCGAAGGATGGACCGAGGAGGCAAGGATGCAAGGGTACCCTTGGGAAGGTTGCCAGTCCTTACATACTTTGCGGGTTGACTGTACCGGCAGGCCTCGAGAAGCCCCAAAGGTGCTTGAAGAAATGCCACCGAGACGTCAACATTGCAAACTCCGGTGGCCTCCGTGCATGATTGACACTCCCCCCTCCCCACCTCGAGATGACTCCAGTCGGCGGCCAGCGAGGGGCGGAAGTGAGAAGGAGAAGGCCCTCTCAAAGGCGGCGGGACTTCTCAGAAGCCCTCGCGCCTTCTGAGAAGTTTTTTTGTGTCTTAGGGGAAGGCGTAGAAAACTTCTCAAAGGCTGGGGGAATTCCGAGCCCTCCGAGAAGGCCCGCCCCTTCTCAGTTCTCCCCCTCGCTCGCCGGCGATCCAGGACAGGCCCGGGATGGCTCCCAGCATCTCCGCCGGCGGCCTGCGAGCCCCCAAGAGGGACACGAGACGAGGCGAGGTGGCCCCAGAGGCTCGCCGCGGCACGGCCACACGACGGCCAAAGACCCCCCACGAAGCCCCACGGACGGCCCTCCACCTCGGCCCCAACGGTGAGGGCCCAACGCACTGCCCCACAGGGCCCCCAGAGAGCCCGAAATAGCCTCCAGAAAGCACCAGGACGGCTCCACCCGTTTCCACTAGAAGGCAAAACATCCGCCCCGATAACAACCACCCCGACACGCGAAGCCGTTTAGTAAATGCACCCAAAGAAGGAATCAGAGAGGGCAGGGCTGTTTAGTAAACGCCCAGTGCCGTTCAGTAAACGCCAATTGTCCGGTCGGGGTGGTTTTTCCTCCCTTGATCCATACCTCCCTCGTCGGGCCCACGGGTCGTATGATCCAGGGCGCGCATGCCGCTCGTTCAGTTACGTGTCATGTGGTTGTCCATGGCTCTGCCTTCGCACCAGTTCGGGCTCCACACGGCCCGTCAGGCCCAATAAGTGGCCCCGGTTGGTACCGGCTGGCACCAGGAGGACCCCCCAATGTGGCCCTAGGAGGGCCAAGAAGGACCCAAGGATCTCCAAGCGGCACCACATTGAGTCAAATTTGACCCCTCCGCCGAATACGATTGAGGAAACACTCACGCAAGGGCCCCGC